AAAGGATATGCAACCTAGCACAATAAGATGACTTCTAATCCACACAATGATACATGTCCATATCCGATAAACAAAGAGTCAAATAATAGCATTATTTCACAATTTAAAGTTTTGAGCAACTCTCAAACTTTCCACCTAGCGAAGACTAACACTCATCGAATAGGACATGAAGCGCAGCTGTTGCGAAAAGTTGTTGACCCCTCTAATTTTCTCCCCCTTTGGCATAAAGCACCAAAAAGAGAGGAAAATAAAAAAGATCAACACCTACACATCATCTCCCTGGATGTTAGTCCAATCAATATCATCACCTCCTGCAGCAGTCCTAGCACCACAATCACAATCATCGTCGTCGGAGTCAATACGTGCATGGCCCTGACGGTGAGTGGTGGCGGTGTAGCAAGTGAAACGCCTCAGCTCCTGTCTCTGATGGTATCCCTCCAGGGTCTCATCCCAATCTGCTGCTCGTCCATGCACCTCCTCCTCATCATCTGAATCTATGTCGGAGAGACTCGGAAGGTCATACTGTGGAGGAGGAGGAATAGGAGAAAGTGGTGGAAGGTCCTGTCCATGTTGCTGACGTTGCTCAAGGTATGTCTCATACACTCTGTCAACTGCATAGGTGCACTTTCCGAAGATTGCCTTCAACCACTTGCCAAACTTCTTCATCTTGCCTCCACTGCAATACCTAGAGCGGGGAGATTTAGGGATATCTACATGAGCATGAGAGCTCCCCGCTCCCTAAGTAGCTGCAGCAGGCTGGGTCTTCTCAATTTTGTAGATGGTGTGCATCCTATCCTTCAGAAAATAAAATCTAGTGACCCTCTCAATCATGAACATGAGGTAGGGGGTATCGGGCAGACCCCTTCTCCCATCCTCTACGGCAAATCTCAATTCAGTCAACATGAATCTAGGGACATTGAACCTGTCCCCACCTGGAGCGAATCTAGCCAACACATTTCTCACATAGCCATTAATATCTGAGGCTGCTCCATCCTTTGGGTTGATGGTGTTCCTGATGAGGTTGTTGAGGATGTAATAGAAGCTGTGTAGGCCACTCCTCTTGCCATCTGCAATCCTTCTATCTCTCCACATGTAACTGATGTCATGGATCTTAGCTCGAGGCTCATCATGAATGTAAGTGTAACCTCTATGCTCCTCTCTAAAGCCAAAAATCCGGTTGAAAGTGATAAAGTCGACTCGGTAGTGCCGACCATCAGTCATCCAGTAAATCTCATCAGAGGTCTGGTCATAGAAGTATGTGGCATGAAACTATACAAGGACTTCCTCATTCTAGTTATACTAGAAACCCATGATGTTTGAAAGCTGGAACCTGTCACAAATTTTGATCACCTTGTCAAACTCCGGTTCCTCCTTCTCCTACATCTCATCCCAATCAATATACTGCATCTTGATGATCTTAGTTTTCTTGGATGCAAGAATGGCAGTGGCATAAAAGTTGGAATGAAACTCATTCCAGAATCTATAATCAATGCCCAAATCTTTGCGCACTGCATAGGGATTGATCTCCCTTGCCTCTTCCACCAGCTTCTAACTCTTGGAATAGTTGACAACTGCATTCTGGCGGGAGTCATCTGGAGGTCTCATGATGATCTCACCCTCAAAATCTCTCATGTATCTGCTATCAAACTCAGAAAGATGTTGTGGGTGTCGAGAATGGCACCAGTGGTACAACCTATCATCTCCAGCCTTTCCTCGTCTTCAATGTATTGCTCACGCCTCCCCTTGTCACCAAGTCCCCTTGGAGCTGCACTACTGCCTGCTGCTGTTGACCTCCCTCGACCACGGCAAGGTGGATCCTTGTCTCTTTGCTCATTCATCTTTCTTTTCTCCCTTCGGTCATTATCTCCATGCTCCATCTTCTCAACCGAGGATAGGAGAGGAGAGGGAAGACACTGCTCAGGCCAGGGGTAGTAGCAGCCGTCAGCGTCATTGAGGGAGAGCTAGCAGTTGTCGTGGCACTGCCAGAGATTGACAACGCGCGGCCAAGCGACGGCGACGGTGCGGGCGCGAGAGGAGAGAGAGGCGCGGGCGTCGGCGTCGGGGGGAAAGAGAGAGAGGGAAGGAAGTTACTGCGGTCCTAAGGATAAGAGGAAGAATAAATGGGCTCTGCAGTAAAACCGTTTGGGCCGAATCTCAATTGAGATTCAAAGTGCGGCACTGTCGCATGGCAGGCACGGCACTACCGCACTCCCCAAAATAGTGGGAGTTAACTATAATCTATATGACAGTGATGCGCACGAATTTTAAAGCATTTATCACGACCAAACGGTTGCTCCTAAACCTAAACCGTCTTCACCATGCACAAGATGGCACATGAGACTACCAAATCGAGCTATAACGCTACACCACTCCTTAACCCAATCTCTCACAATAAATTGCCAAACATAGCAGTGTCTAACTGTCGACAGACTTGAAAATTTCTAAGTTTTTGAGCTGAATTTGATTTCCATTTGTGATTTCTAAGCTAGTGGAAATATTAGCTAGTAATATCATTTTTCGACCGCAGGTATTTCATTGTCATCTACAAAGTTTGTACTTTAAACTTTATTTAAGTATCACATACATGTTCCATAGCATTTTTGCTTAATAAAAATTGATTTTAAACCCTAAGTGATATAACATGACTATCGAATCAACTTTCATTTCGCATTCTAGTTGATCGTTTCGAGTTACAGAAATTGATCTACACACTTTATCACATGCATTAACACATAAACATGATACTCGTGAAATATTTTAGTAAATGATTTACGGTGTAACACTGAGGGCCCTGTTTGTGTCCCGCCTGTTTTTTGCCAGATTTTAAGAATTTGGCTTTTGAAAATTGGGTGGGATCCAAACGGACCAGTTTTTGCTGTCAGTTTTTGTCGGATTCTTATAAACCAAGAAGCTGCTAATACCTAGCTTTTGTGACCCATAGAGTAATAAATGAAGTCAGATTCTTAGAAACTGAGGATCTAAACACCCACGCTAGTTTTTGTTCAAAATCAAGATTTTAGAAACTAGAGACAAAAAAAATGATTTTTAAGAAGCCAAAACTGATCCAAACGTGACCTTAGCCATCTATACCGACCGATGATTTCCAGCTGTAACGAACAGGAGAGAGTCACTGTGTGCTGCGCGTAGACCGGTGAGATCCATTTGATTTGAAGCCGTGTCACGCACTTGCTTCTCGTTCTCGAGGCGCGCACGCGGCACGCATCCGGCTGGCCAGAGGTAGGCGCGCATCGCGCCATTTTTCGCCGCACGCAGAATGCAGGCTTGCACGCACGTGCCAGACCAGACCCCAGCCTACACTAGGCCTTGTTTAGATACCCTCAAAATTCCAAGTTTTTTCACTTTCTCTCCATCACATCAATTTTTAGTCGTTTGTATGGAACATTAAATGTAGGTAAAAAAAATAACTAATTGCACAGTTTAGTTGGAAATCACGAGATGAATCTTTTAAGCTTAGTTGGTCAACGATTGGACAATATTTATCAAATAAGACGAAAGTGTTACTATTCATCGGTTTAAATTTTTTTTCAATCTAAACAAGGCATAGTGACTAGCCTTCTCTCCGCCGCCGGGCGCGCTAGAAGGTTCCACACGGAGCATAGCGAGGGCATGTGGCCGCGTAGGAGGATCCAGGAATTGAATGCCGGGTGCGTGCGTGACGCAGCGAGTCGGAAACGCCACACGCGACCTGCAGCTGCCGGACAGTGCCAGCCAGTTCCATCCATCAATCCGCCGCTGATGAGTGACGCATGGCTCGGCTCCTCGCCTCACGTACATACCGTGTTTGCTAGTGCTACTCCACACCGTGTTTCAGGATTAGAGAAGCATCGATATCTTTCGATCTGTATAGTGTGTTTATATAAAAGCTCCTAGTCTATTTTTTAAAGATTTTTTTCTACATTTCTAATTTTCTATAGCTCAATCAAAAATTTGGAAACCTCCATAAATAATTCCAAGAGTTACAAATATTCTATTTGGGTGTATCTTGTTATGACACATCTCTAAGATTATCCTTGGATATTTCTGATGTTTAACCATATTTTTTATTGTTTGAAAACCTTATCTAGTGTAAGGAGAAAACTATTGACATCTGCATCAAAGGTGTAAATTATGGAAAATATATATTTCGTAACATATCTTATAATTTGAAACGGCCGCAGAATCATTGTAGAAAAGTTGGGTTCCAAAGATCACGTAGAAAAGTTGTGTATAAATTTTATCAAATAATATATTGAAAAAAATATGATTAAATGTCGTGGTGATAAGTTATGTGTCCCACAAAACACTATGCACGAAAATTGTGAATATAACTGTGTAACTTCCTAAAAATGAAAAATGCTGAAACAACTTTTTTAAAAGGAAAGTCGGTTGTCTTCGTTCACTGGTTTCTAGTCGATCGATTGTTGGTTAAAAATGTCTAATTTGGTTTTATAGGTTTATCGTATTAGTTAGAGATAAAGCCACACGGACATATATACAACTATGTATACATGCACACAAAAAAAGGGCGCCAGCAGAACCACGAACATGAAAAATATTTGGAATGACATTAATAAAGTCAGTACAATTAAACATTTTCTTTAAAAAAAATCTACTAGACCGCCCTTTCCTTGTGCCGTCCGTGTGCATGCGGCAGCTGGCCGCCAGCATGACTGACTGCATGTGGCGTGAGACGGTGAGAGAAAAACAAAGCACGCACCACCATCACACAGCAGCTGAGCAGCAAGCAGCAGCACCTGCTGGTGGGGGAGGCAGGGGCAGGCAAGGCAACTCAGCAAAGCAAGCTGAGTGCGCGGTTTCTTCTCCACCCTGCGTCCCTGCCGTCCCCTCTCCCCCCGGCCGGCCCATATATACCATGCCCTCCCCGCCTCCTCCCACCTTCAGTCGCAGGCAGGCAAAGGCAATTAAGCAACCATTCCGCAGCCGCAGCAGCAAGCTAGAGAAAGATATATAGAGATTAGAGAGTGAGGGGGGCGAGAGAAATGAGGCCGGAGAGAGTTGGAGGTGTGGCGCCGACGGTGCTAATGGCTGGTGGCGGCGGCGCGCGGCCGAGCCTGTGGAGGACGCCGACGCCGTACCTCTTCCTGGGGTTCGCGGTGATGATGGGCCTCATCGTGGTGGCGCTGCTAGTGCTCATCTGCACGCGCCGCATGGCGGCGTCGTCGTCGGCCGACGACGAGAAGGCGGCGTCGGTGCGCGGGGTGCTGGTGCCGCTGGACCGGGAGCCCAGGGTCGTGGTGATCATGGCCGGCGACGCCCTGCCGTCCTTCATCGCCGTCGCCAGCGCCATGAAGCCGCTCGCCTTCGCCGCACCGGCCGGGGCCGAGGCCGTGTAGGCGCCGGCAGGCGTCCGAGGAGCCGAGAACCCGCGCGTCGCGACGCGGGGACAATTTTGTCGATCAAGAGGTTTTCTTTGTTCTTTTGCTTTGGAGTTCGGTGGCGCGATGAGGGCGCCCAGCCGCCGCCGCCGCCGCCACCGGCAGCTGGATGGTTTGGTCTGTTTCGGGACAAAGCTTCCAGCTTGAATAAACGCGCACGGCTTTCTTTTGGCTGCGTTCAGCTGGATCTCATCGATTTGCCTTCTCTTTCACGCGAATTCGTTCCTGCTGCGTGCGTCGCCGATCATGCTTTGATCGCCCAATCCTTTCGATCGTGCATTCGTGCGTCGTCCAAGTGCAGGATGACAAGACGAGATCGTGTACGCCGTCGTCGTCGCCACAGCGATGACGAGGCTCTCTGTTTCCTCTGAGTCATGACGCACCGCGCCGGGCGGCCGTCCTCCGCAATGGCCATGGCCACCCGTCTGCAAAAAACAAATGCAATCTGACGTGCGTGTGCGGTGTGAGTGTGACCACCATCGAAAAAGCACCATTATTTCTTCATTTTCGTGAGGAACTAACCGTAAAAGTTCTCGTGAGATGACCGAAGCGAGCGCCCAGCCGCCCACAGGCTACAGCCACTGACCGGATGGCCGGCCCCTGGGTTCCCCAAGGGCAGCTGCTCGCAAGTATCCCTCTGTTTTCCGCGACCACACCACACCAACTAACACGTACTTCATTAAGAGGGTAGACAAATATCCCTCTCTCAATTTTAATATATGTTTAAACTAAAATAAAGTTCTTCAAATTTGATAAATACATAAAATAGTATCAATATTCATATATATACCGTAAATAAGTATACTATAAAAATATATTTTATAATTAATCTAATGACACTTATTTGATATCATAACGTTAGTACTTATTCCATAGATTTAATCAATCATAGTATATTCATTTTATTTAAAAAAAATAAGACTTGTACATTTTTTTAGACACAAGGAGTAGACTTTCTTTCTGGTGCTAAGTGACAGAATAATAACAATATTAGGATAACCAATAGACAAGTCACCGAAGGGTCGTTTGCTTCGTAGACTGGCAGACAAGGCCAACCCAAGATGGCAAGATAGGGGATCACAACGCGGGGCGTTTAAAACCGGACGCCTAGGAGCTCTTCTAACGTTAGGCAACTTTGCCTCAAATGCAAGCAAATAAGCTTGCATGGGACCCTGGCAAAGCTGGCTGGCCTAGGCAACTGATCGAGACGGTCGATTTCGTCCGCCGGGAGTCTAGATTATATTGCTGCTTGGCCCAAGCCACCATCCTACACATGCCTAAGAGCGTGCTGGAAGACCACCTACGAGGTGAACGGCGGCCTGACCCGCATGTGGTGAACCAATTAGCTCTAACTCCTTATTAAAAACAGATGGAAGTGAAGCAGAAAACAAACTTGAACTTTTTAGATCCAGTATATATACTTTGACGACAAAGGTTAAGTCCCTTAATAATGAGGAAACGTGATGGCTACTCTTGCTATTTGCTATATAATGTGAATTTGTAGCTCCCCTATTAATATAATGCGTCTTTATAATTTGTACTAAAACGTGAATGTACATCTCTTGCCACCATACATTCCTATAAAGCTATATAACTCCAACTGGATGTCATCTGTTTGTCTTTAAAAGTATATATAGGCTACATGAGTTCTCTTTTTTCATGTGTGTTTGTATGAATGATAGAACCCTCCAAGACGATGCAATATCCATGCTGAATACGTTGAACTAGAAGTTTTTTTAAAAAAAGTAATATTGAACAGAAGGTGATAATCGATTGCTAACTTGCATTGCTCTCTAGCTTGTGCATGCAACAGCTCGATCGATCACCTTCTTCGTCATCAACACTCCGAAAGAAAATGTTTATTTGTAGTACGTACGCTCTCTCTTCAGGTTACACACGATTCCAATTTGCATTATTTACATCATGCTTAATATAATTGTACTATACTGGCACTAACTAGCTTTGGCTCCTCAGAAAAGAGACGACGTATTCCCCTAAATAAAAAAAGGGAAATGAAGAGACATTCGCTGAAGAAGAAAATGGGACGGTTACACGTAGCCAATGCCATGCAGCTATGGACAAATCACGAGTCCACAGGGCGTACGGGCACGCAAATATGCGACAGAATGAAGATAGCAGGGTGTAGCTCGTTGCGACACGTACGTTTGCGTAGAATTTGTGCAGACATTTTTATACATCGCGTGCTAATTAATTAATACTTCAGCAAAACAACGATTTTTTTCGAATAAAGCTCGCCCTTAGATTTTGTTTATGTGCAAAAAGAGTTTTTAAAGGGTCAAATTAATGCAAATAAAGTTAGCGACTTTCCCTCCACTTGTACGGTCAAGTGCAAGCATTTGTTTGTACTCCTGCTGCTGCCCTCCAGCATCCTTTAATTTCGTTTTTTTTTTGTCTCCAAAAGTATTTTTCTTTTTTAGCTACTACTTATCCTCTTGTACTTGTTTGTTCTTGTTGCACCTGATTTCTTGCTAAATTCGGTGGCTCGGTGGCAGCCTGGCTTGCAGGTCAGATCAGTCACTCAAATCCATAAAGAATTTCGAGACTTCATGCATGGCATCAAGCCATATCAAGGGTGTGTGTAAATGAGAGCTAAATTAATTAAGTTCTGAAAAATTTCCACACACAGAATCTGTCGCTAAAAGTAAAAGGTGATTAATCGAAGCCAGAATTTTTTTAGAACGAAGCAGCCATGCAAATATAAGAAAATAAACAAGTTATGGGCGCTCGCGCACACAATCATTGCGTCCTGCTTATGTAATTCTAGCCAATCCATTGTTGAACTATCCACAACTATAGCTTAGCTAGAGAGCGCTTTAGCAAAGGTGCTTTGACGACGACAATGCGTTTCTTTGATTTGATGAACACCAAATATTCGTCAGGATAATTCAGCAGGATATGAGTTTACAAAGCGACAGAAGGATTCGTTCTATTCTCATTGATGATGAATGAGTTCTTCCCTAGCCATATATAAGAAAAGGGTAAATATATAAGAAATTAAAGTGGGGGAGAATAATTGAGAGGCCTAAGATTTAATACTACCCGTGGTGGCAGTATGATAATGCGAGTCCATCAACAAAACCCACGCACGTGGGGCCGGCCTGCCCGCTACTTTATAGAAAGGAAGGAGGCGCTCTCGGTGGGTGCGGCTAGCCTGGACTGGACCTGTGGAAGCGGCGCCTCGAGCGCGCAGAGGGCCGACGTCGTCATCACGCTAGCTAGCTAGCTTGTCGTCGGAGAAGACCGTCCTCTCCTGTCGACTCCATCAATCCTCCCTAGTTACCATGCATATGTTCTGTGTTCTCACCTAGAGAGCCAACACGTGTGTGTGTGTATACAGCAGCAGTCCAATTCCGTCTCGAATGTGAAACTTTATTTCATTCGCGTGTCTCAAGCAAGCTGCATATACACAAAATCACGATGCTAGTAGTATTTTGTTAGGCCCGTTCACTTAGCTGAAAATACAAGGCAAAACAATGTTATAACTAATTTATTGTGAGAGAAAAATAATATTTCAACTAAAAAAATCAAATTAAAAAATACAGATTACGAGACAAGCGAGGAGGGCCTACTCTTTTCAACTTTTGCCTGACCTATAGGACTGGGTGTGTAATAACGTGCCTAGCTTGTACGACACCCGTCGCAAACTTGTACTGCTAGCAATCTAGTGGAAGCGGCGCAGCGTGATCGAGTGCGCGCGACAACTTTAGGGAGAAGTCTACGACGATGGCGAGCTTTGCGTTTGCGTGGGCGGAGCTTTTTAAGAGGAGTTGGGGTCGAGTCACGAACCAGAAGGCGCGCGGCAGGGAGCAGCCATGGCCATGATTGCCTCCACCACCAAAGCACGTACTAGTATGCAGCACCAAACCAAACCCTTTCCGGCTTTGCTTTTTATTTCTTCCTCCACTGCCGTGCCCGTGCAGAATATACTGAGCATATGACTTCCCCATGGCTGATGATGGCTCCTTCAGATCATCCTACACAAGTCTCAACAAGAGCTATCTAGGGAAGAAGATGCGCACCCTAAAATGCTGCTCAATGTGATCGATCTTGGGCTAAACATACATTCTCCAAATATCTACCACAACTCATATGCTGATTACATCTCAGACCACGGAGGACAGTTCGTAGTCATAACGAGCAGCTTTCAGGCTTAATTCAGGAGAAGCTCAGTCAAACAATTTTTTTTACTGACAAGTGATTCTTCGCTGATGTTGTGAAATGATTCCTTGAAGTGAACTAGGAGGCTACAAGCTGAAAAAAGTAGCTTCTCTTGATTTACTTCACGCACAGAATCACTGTAAACGCAGACTTAACCTACACAGAAATTCAACTCTTCCCACAGAGAATCTAGAGCAAAAGAAGCTCTGCCAAACTCGTTCTTACTATATAAGTATTACCTAGATTTCTTGATAACAGTCAGTGTGCTAGTTGGAGCCTTTTTTTCAAGGCTGCAGCGAACAGAGAACTGCATTGAATTGTGGCTAATACATCAAGGCAAGCTGTTCCACCACGAAGTCATCACATTTTATGATCGATATGCACAATACGCTGCAAAAACCAGGATTGTACTTCTCTACAAGTAAATCAATTGACTTTTAGAATGATCAGAACAGCTCTATAAATTAATAAAAAAAAGTTAACTGGAGCGTGCGCGCAGTGGGGGTGATGTTTTAATAATTTGCATCAGAAAGGTGGCGAGTCGATGCAAAAAAGAAGAGAAATAAATACAATGGTCATCGCTTGCCGGTGAGAATCACATATGACAAGGTAGGGCCTCCACCATACCTTAAATTTTCTTGCAGCATGCATCGTCGTCTCCTTTGCATCCTGTCTTTTTCTCCACTGCTTTTGCTCCGTCGCCGCCATGCATCGAGGCATATATATGGTGCTTTGTTATTAGTGTAGTTGTGCCATATCTTAATTTTTAAATATGTCCT